TATACACACACACACACACACACACACACACACACGCGCACGCACGCACACACACACACACACACACACACACACACACACACATGCACTGAAATGTTAACCCTTTCAGGGACAGCGGTTACTACAGTGGACAGCTTATCATGTTATCAGGTTACAGGGTGCATCAAAGTTTTCAATTAATTTGAAAACTTTTAACTGACTCTTTTTTTCACATTGTCATTATGGGGTGTTGTGTGAAGTATTTTGAGGAAGGCTGCATTTGAAGTGTACATCTTGCCTCCGATCGGGTTCATTTCATCGCGGCAGCCAGAATCACGATCGTGATTAATATGAGTTGAATTATGGAGCCCTAATTTTTTTTTTTCCCCCATAGGAACATATTTGACCCACGAGGCCAAAGGCTCAGACGACGCCCCCGACGCCGACACGGCCATCATCAACGCTGAGGGTGGAAACTCCGGAGTCGAGGACAAGAAGGAGTACTTCATCTAGGGAGCAAGAAGAGAAGAAAGAAGGAAGGAGAAGAAGGAAAGAACAATCTTCCATTTTGTTTTCACCACACTCAGTTGCTCGAGAAAGTCGGGGGTGAGGACTTCGTTTGCATCGACACGGGGGATGTGAGATTTGCACTGACACACACCCACACATACACACACACCCACACACACGATGACTAACTAACACGTTATTGTTACGTTGCGATCCCGGCGTCCCGTTTTTGAACCAACTCCGAAATTGTAACTCACATTCCTTCCCGAGCTGCTTCCTACATGAACACCACACCCACTTCATGAACATCCTCAGCCTGCCCTCTTCAAAAAAAAATGTGACGAGCCACCCTGCAACCCCCACCTAAGGCCCCTCCATCTACACTACACACGTACACCTATAAATATGTGTGTGTGTGTGTGTGTGTGTGTGTGTGTATGTGTATATATATATATATATATAAAGCATCCTTTTTTCTGGGTGGAACCGGTGTCGGATGTGTGTGCCTGTACATAGAGAAAGGGGAAAAAAAAAAGAGGAAGAAAAATACACTCCTCTCGCTCATGTATCTCACTTCCTGGAATACTCTTATTGCCTGTTTTTATTACATGCGTGCAGAGTATCTGACAAAGGAAAAAAAACAATAGAAAATAAATGTAATAATATTAAGCAGTACCAACAATGGCTTTGCAACTAACTTCCACTGCAAAGATTTGCGTCGGATTCATTCTCGTTACATTTTATTTTATTTATTTATTTCTGGGGGATGAAGCGGTGTTGGGGCCACACTGAAAGGCAAAAAAATATAATTATACAGTGACACGTGATATTATCGAGTAAATGTTATACTTTCGGGAAGAAAAAGATCATGCAAAATTTCAACACATTTCTCGACAAAACAAATTTTCTCTGAAAAAATATGAATTCATCAGAATCTGCTGAGGATAAAGTTTTCCGGATCAAATGAATTTTGAAAAACAAAAATATTGTTCAAGAAAAATACATGTGTATTTTCTGAAATAAAAAGTTGTAGCCAGTTGATTTTTTTTTCAACCAAAAATAATAATTTCAAAAATTCCTGGGAAAAAAAAAAATCTTCTCCAAAAATGGGTTAAGTGGTAACTTTACAAGTTAAAATTCTATAATTTTTTAAAATAATAAGTCATACATATGAATTGGAGCTTTTTTAAAAGCTAAGTATGAAAGTATTTTTCCAAATCCAATTTACATGATAAATTTTATTCTTGGAATATTGCAATATGCTTTAATTTAAAGCACATATGAATAACATAATAATCATTTGAGAATAAAGTAATCAATTTCAGAGCAAAAAAATAATAAAGATAAAATTTTAGGCAAAAATTCACAATATTCGAATAAGGCATCTTGATTTGAATGAGTATCTTGAAAACTTCAAAACAAAATACCAAGACTTAAAAACAAAATAAAACTTTTTCCTTTTGAAAATTATCACAATGATTATATAATTGTATTTTTTTCTCTTGTTAGTGTAGCCCCACATAATACTTTTAATACTTTTTCAAGACTGATGAGAGTTGCCCATTTTTGTTTGTTTGGGCATCAAGTGTTTACAGTGTTCACTTTACCCAAATAAACCAAACTGTAAATTTACCCATTTATTTGCTTGTCGTGAAGCAGGGGTGTCCAAACTTTGGATAGTAACTATTCAGATGCGCAATAGAAAGAAATACAAAGATGACAAAATCATCCACACAGTAAAAAAAAACAAACAAAAAACAACAGATTAGTTGCGCAAATGTAACCAACCAAATGACGACCAATTAAAATTTTTTAAAAAGTTGCGCTGACATTTGATTGATAGAATCTTTCCTTTTGCTACTTGCAGAAATTAACCAGAACCACTCGAAATAATCCAAAGAGTAGAACAGAACTACTCCAACTAATCCATATTCTCAAATCTCAGGGCGGTCCCCGGACTGGACTTTTTTGGGCACCCCTCTTTATCGGCTCAGTGGTACATTCCGAGTGAAGGGTTCCTGTAAATGAGTAACGTTGGCTCGTGGCCGCGTGTGGAAAAGGGAAAGGGAAGGTAATCTGGCTAAGAGGCTGCGGGCGCCGTGCCAACGCTGCGCTCTGGCCGGCCACAAAGTCTTTGAACAACTTCAATGTCCTCGTCCATTTCTTTTCATTCTTTAATCAATCAGCCCCGGCTGCGTCCTGATCCACCTTCAGCTCCCCCCGCCCGCCCTCACCCTCCATATACATGATTGATGTGGCGCCTTCCTGGCAGGATGCCCCCTCCCCCACTTTATAGACATTGGTGTGGATGATTGTATGCTTCTGTACAGGTGTGCTTGGAACGGTATGAAAGAACAAGTGCAAAAATTCCCACCCCATGTTGTAGAAAGTCTTCCTGGAGAGAGAAGAAGCTGGTATCACTGCAAACTCCACGGCGTCCCAATACTTTTGTACACAATCCATATTTTCTTTTATTTGATGTTCCAACCCTTTTGTCCCCGCAAAAAAAAAAACAACAGTCTCCACTTCATCCCAATACTTTTGTCCATCTTTTCCTCAGACCTCACGTTTGCGTCCCAATATTTTTGACCATCCAGCATTTGTATTTTATTGTTTTTTGTTTCATTTTTAATTGTTGTTTTTCTCTCGTTCTGGAATGTTCAGGGATTCTTCGTTTTCCAGTCAGCCCCCTCTCCACCTTTGTTGTGAGTCCTTTCACGCTGCCTGTCAAAAATGATTTTCTGTTGTTTTTTTTTTTTGGCTGTTCTGCGTGTGAAAGTTATTGACATGGGCTGATAATTTCAGAGGCGGGAGGATGTGTGAAATGAAATTCTGCAGGGATGTCGAAGGCAAAGCCACTTCCCTGTGTTCCGTTGTGAAAGACCCTGCCTGTCAAAGTCGGCTTATTTTGCCGTGCATTTGCTGTTTTCTGTATGAAAATGACTGAAACGTACCATTAATTTCCTGTCTTTGGAGGAAATGTCACAATGTGACTTTGTGAAAAGGGATAGCCTGGGTAAAATGGATGCTGCATCTCAGTGTGAAATGACACATTTGCCCTGAAATTTCACGCTTTCACATAAAACCCAGCAAAGCTTGATGTTTTCTTTTTGAAAGTCAAACAGATGTACCATCACAAGCATGACGGGTAGTGACATTAAGAAAGGAAATACAGTGGATGTAATGTCTCTGTCTCAAAGCATAGACAGCTGACCAGAAATTTCATGCTTTCACACGAGCCCAACAAAGCTCCGTGTTTGCTTTTTTCTGTGTGAAAGGTACTGACACGGCTGCTTGAGAAGAGCATGTTCTCTTTGTCTGTCTCTTTATCAATGCGCAGCCAGTTGATTGGAAATTTCACACTTTCAGGCGTAACCCAGCATAAATCCTCACATTTGCTGTTTTGTGTGTGAAATTTATCGACACAGGCTGCTTATTTCCCAACTCCCTGCAAAAGCTCTTTTTTTTGTTGTTTTGTTTTTTTGGCCCCTAAGTTCGCTGTTTTCTGTATGAATGGTACCAACACAAACTGCTAATTTCCCAACTGCCTGTGGATCCATTTTTTGCTGGATTGTGTTTAAAAGACACCAATACAGACCACTCATTTGCCGTCAACCCATCACAGCTGTCATTTTTCCACCATTTGGCTGTGTGAAAGATATCCACGGGGACTGCTAATTTTCCAGCCGTCTGTCAAAGGTGGCTTTTTCTATGTGTTTGCTGTTTTCAATGTGAAAGTTACTGACCGATTGGGTTCCATGTAAAAAAACAAACAAACAAGACAAACAAAAAAAACCCGCTCTTTCATCTTTCATTCTGTTTTCATCTCACCTGCTTTTTTTGTTATGGAAAGATCTGCGTGAAAGGGGCTAGCGACTGCACTCTAGCCTAGACAGTGTGCTAACATATGCTAAGCTAGTCACTACAACAAAGGCATACAAAGTCAAAAGTGAGGTGATTTGTAGCAGTTTTATCAGAACACACTTGATTTTTTTTTCCCCACTGTTGCTGACGTCTTCAGACCTGAGGGGGGCGCTGTCGTCCCATGCCCAAGTTGAAACTCCAAGAAGAATTAGCTGCGTCGTGCTACAAAAAAAAAAAGAAAATGTTGTTTTGTAAAAAAATCAAAATGAAAAATCTGCAAAGACCCAGCGGCCCTATATTTGCCTGTAATCAGTCGTCCTGTCCTTCGTCTTAGCTAATGTGCTAGCATGTAGCTTGCATGAGAACAGTGGGGTGGTGTGTAGTGTAGTGCGTGCGGGACAAAATGTCCACCCTCCTCTGGTCTACGGACGTCGGTCCGAAATAAGTCGGGGCTTGTTTTGTCTTAAATTATGTCATCCTTTTTTCTTGTTTTCCTTGATTTTTTTTTTTTAATGTTTAGATGAACCGAAGGTTGTACTGTAGATGGTTTTTTTTGTGTGTATATAGTATTTCATATCACGAAATGTATGTTGATTGGACAAATGATGATGATGTCACCAAGCCGCATGCTGTGGTTGGCTCCTATGTTTAAATTGTACTTATTTTAAATTTTGTTTCCTTTAGTTTTTTGTTTGCTAAAATTCCAGTTTTCTGTTATTGACTTCAATAAAGATGCAATTGGGTTAATTTCACTTATTTTTGTCCTGATTCTTTTTGGGGTGTGCTTGTTTACCCCCAAATTGTGCTTTTACATATGCCACAAAAAATGGCGCTACCAGTTTTACAGTATTTTATTTCAATGTGTAATACATTTATTGCGCTTTTTTGTGCTTAGTTTACTGTTTTTGTACGAAAAAGTGTCACAAGAACTCGAACGGTGATCACTTGGAAAAGTGCCACGAAATGGTATGGTGTAGTTCACAATATGGCCAGTAGAGAGAAGTACAATCCAAAGAAATCTCCAACGTGCTCGATTGACCATAAAACGTTGAAAATATCACAAATGTTTGTATCCTTTTTGTTTAAATCAGTCTTGTTGTAACACGTGACAAAAAATAGTTTGTCAACAGTGACATGCTAAAAGTCTCTCTCTTTTTCATATAATTGCCATCGTTAATAAGAATATGAATAAATTGTGGTTAATTGGTCTTTTGACGAGTAATAAAATTAATGATCCAAATGATTGCAATTAAAACATTTGAATCACAGTACTTTATTTAAATTTAAAAATATATATCTTGATTACATATAGATAATTTTAATTTTGTATCTTGTTTTAAAAATTTTGCGATTGGCTGACAACCAGCTCAAGATGTAGCCCCGCCTACTGTCCGAAGGTAGCTAGGATAGGCTCCAACACGCCCTGCGACCCTTGTGAGGAAAAGCAGATCAGAAAATGGATGGATGGATGGATTTTAAAAATCCACCTAATCAACATAATAGCTTTTTGACAGATCGGGATAATAGCAATTATTGTAATATATCTACAATTTTCGTTTTATCTCTTCATTTTATATTTATTTTTTCAATATATTATTGTTATTCTGCGTTTTTATTCTTTTATTTTGCGTGTGTTTTGGATTTTTGTTTTATTTTTTGCCTAGTTTACTTTTTTTCTTAGTTATTTTACTTCTATTTTAATTTAATATATTTTATTTACTTAATTTTACTTTTATTTTTTATAGTTTTATTTATTGTATTTACTTCCTGTTTAACTTTTTTTGTTTCGGTTTTTCAAATGACCTTTTTTTTTGTTTTGTTTTTTACATGCCATTTCAATTTCTTTTTGTACTTGTACTTCGTATGTATGTATTTATATATGTTTGTATGTTTGTATTTTAATCCCCGAGTACTGTCAAAAGTGAATCTCTGAAGCGCAGTTTTCCCGAACGGCCACTGGAGAGTGCTCTTTGTGTTCTTAGCGTCCAAAACGGCGCTTCGCAAAGAGGGAAGGAACCTTGGGGGCTGGGGTGGTTTGTGATGATGAAGATGATGAGCATGGGGGGATGATGATGGCGCGTGGTAGGAGGGGGCCTGCTGAGGAAGAGACGGTGTTGGAGGGGGGGAGAGCTCGAGCAAGCTCGTGCGCCGGTCAAACGCCAGCAGAGCGCTGCGAGGAACGGACGCAAGTGAACGCAACATTTCAAAGTGCACGCGGACGATCAAGAAGAGGATTTCATCTTGTCTTGAATTGTAAATATTAATCACAATCAATAAGTCTCGCTTGGCCTCTCTGATGAGTGCAATCCGGCGGGAGTTGACGGAGGCGCGCCCGGAGGCGGCGGCGGCGTGGGGCGACGACGTGCACGCGCGCGGCTGAAAGCATCATGGAGCAGCCTTTGTGGATCCTAACTTTGCTCGTCACTTTGCTGCCAGGTGAGCACGCGCACCCACGCGCACCCCGTCAAATTCAATGAGCATCTTCTGCTTTGTTTCTTTTGTTGTTGCCGATGAGCGCTGATTGGCAATTGATTGATCGCACCTTGGAAGCCATTCAGGTTGATTGATGGCGAAAAGAAGCCCGAGGGCATGACGTCACATTGTCAAGCTTTTTGTTCATAAAGGCCACATGACAGCTTTAAAGTAGTTTGGATGTCCTTTGGGGTGCATCCACTTTGCTTTCAAGTGTCTTTTTTGGTCAATGGAGAGATGATAGCGCCACACAACAGTTGAATCTGGCACACCGGAGCCCTGGCGAAAACAGGTGTGTGTGCTTTGTGTTGAATGGAGAGGTGTTAGCAAGATGATGTCTATATGTTGCAACTAACCATCACAAACGTGTTTCACAAAGTGGGTCTTTAGTGAAAACGGGTGTGTGTGCGAGTGCGAATGGAGCAATGGAAGCGAGATGACCTTTTGACAGTTTATCCAAAGCAGAGCACTGGATTTACGGTTAAAAAAGTTTGTGTGTGTGTGTGTGTGTGTGTGTGTGTGTGTGTGCGTGAGTGTACCTGCTGCGCCACCTGGGTCCGCACCCACCACCGCAGCTGCCATCTTGGTGGTCCGCAGACACTGATGTGCTCCGACAGCTTGGAGACGCCGCTGTCGTCTTCACACGATGTGGCCTGAACTAAGAAATGTTGCATTTCGGGACATGACGGACCACTTTCACACTGTAAATCGATGGCGAAAGATACGCGCACAAGATGAGATGGAGATGAGTCGAGGCATTCATTCGCTGGCTTCAGCGGGGGCAACAGATATGTAACAGAAGCCTCTTTAAAACATTCTGTAAAAGTTGGTGTCTGTGTCATTGTGAGACTTATGTCGCACGTCTTCATTGGTAGTTTCAATCTGCAATCGGAGGACTGTGAAGTTTTATAGCTGAGACAAACGTCTCCCACTCTGTGGGGGTCAAAAGTAATTGTCTCTTACCCACTGCCCATTGAAGTCACTCGATATATATTGGCTACCATTTTCGCTGTGAGGATTGAAGTCGAGCCGTGATTTTCCCCTACGGAGGTCGTATCAAATGTGCAACAGAATTTTACTGTCTGTGGAAGTTGAAATTTTCCCATTTTTGTGTGTGGTGCTGTTCCACATAAACAAACGCAACAAAGGACAGAATCGGGTACAAAGTCCCCACTTCAATTTTCCACCTACGGAGGTATTACCAGATCCACAACGCTAGGAAATTCTTGCCCCTTATCCCCTGCCTATCCGAACTGTGTTGTTCTTTTTTTTTTTTCCACGTTGCTGTTTTGAAAGTCAAAACTAAAAGTCAGCCTGTTACTTTTCCGCTTCTGGAGGTCAGGTAGTATCTGACCAGTAATGTGGGTGGCAAATCAACTTTGTGTCAGGGTGTTCCGCTATAACAGGTTGTTAAATTCACACCCGAGACTCAATTCTCCTTCTGCCCTCCTCAGAGCAATTTCAAAGTCTTTTTCCCGTCATATCAGAGATGGACTCGAAGCTCTCAACAGCCGGAATCACCCTGCCTCTTTCTTTTCCTTTTTCTTTTTCTTTTTTTTTTTTAAGAGCATCAAAATGGATGTGAAGAATAATGGCAACAAAAAAAAGAGAGACACTTGAAAGCACTCTCTCGCTCTCATTTTCAAATGCTTCTCCTGATGCTCATTTGGACCGTCTAAATGGACCGCCCACGTGAAAATCCAGCTTGACAAATAACAACCATCAGCACGTGGGTCAATCAATCGCGTCCTTCCACGAAAGATCACAATCACGCACTTTTGTCTGTGAGTGTGAGTGGGCGTATGCAATTGTAATCCATCCATCCATTTTCCAATCCGCTCACAAAGGTTGCGGGGGGGTGCTGGAGCTTATCCCAGCCGTCTTCGGGCAGTAGGCGGGGGGACACCCTGAACCGGTTGCCAGCCAATCACAGGGCACACATAGACGGACAACCATCCACGCTCACAATCACACCTACGGACGATTTAAAGTGAACAATTAATTTACCATGCATGTTTTTGGAATGTGGGAGGCAGCCGGAGTACCCGGAGAAAACCCACACAGCCACAGGGGGAACATGCAAACTCCACACAGAAAGGCCGGAGCCAGAATCAAACACTGCACCTCTGCTCTGTGAGACCGACATGCAAACCATTCGCCCGACGTGCAAACCAGTCGCCCACCGTGCCGCTCGATTGATTGACAGATGTCACCCGAAGTGTTCTCATTACTTGTCACGGTGTCGAAGCCATGGAGAGAGATTAGGAGATATTGTGATTTATCGGTACGGCACAGTATCGCCAGGAGAGATCAATGCAGTATCGCAGTAGCATTTCTTCCGTGCAGTATCGTAACTCAGCCACAAAATATCAAGAAAAATATCAATATCGTGACGTACGGTATCAATACTTGGTGGAAAAAACTAAATAACGATATTAAGTTTCAAAAGGCACGGTGGCTTTAGGACATACGTCATCTATTGCCAAAATAACGATATTAAGTTTCAAGGCACGGTGGCTTTAGGACATACGTCATCTATTGTATCTGAAATGGAGAGAATGACGTCACCCGCGCAACTAACCTCCTGATATGCGTGAATTGAAACACAAGCCGGCGGCAGCGTGGGTGGCGACCATCTCATCCTATCTAATCATTATCATCATCATCATCATCCATTGCCATTTACAAGCGGGGGGACGCACAAGAAAGCGAGATCTTCCTTCCAAAAAAAGAAGACGGCGCTCGTGCGAGAATGAAAAGGGGGTGGCTTAACAGCAGCCGGTTCAATTACAGATAAGAGAAACGCACTGCAGAGTGACTGGAAGGTGCTAAAATGTTGAATTGCGGCCGAGACGATAGCGCGACTTGAGGCCCGTCGGAGATTAGCCAGCACCCATTCTCTATGAACAACTTGGCCGCCTAAACGTCAATTCAGTGGAACTTGTTGAAATGTGATGATATGCTCATTTCGATGACGTGAAATTAAAATGCTTAAAAGTCGAGCGTGACGTGCCCACGGATAAAAGCTCCGCTCTTAAAAAGTTTCAAGAGAACTTTGAACCCCGGATTCTCAAATGATCAAAGCAAAAAAAAAAAAATGATTGGCTTTCAACTCAAAATTATACGAGACGCAGATTGCGATGATATTAATAATGCATGGCACTTGTCAAGAAAATGTCATAAATTTATAAAAGACCACTGGTAGCTTGAAAGAATGTCCAGTACCCAGACTGTGCCTTATTACTTCACGATAATCCCTATATAGGCAAGTCAAGGCATCTTGACTTTGTATATTGCCCATTTCATGCACAAGATAATTCAATGTGCTTCACAAAAGAATGTTAAGATCTTTAAAAACAGACAAATTGAAGACATGTAAAAGCAACAAGTATTTGACTAAAAGGACTAAAAGAGAGCATAGCGCAAAATTTGATTTGACAAATCTTGATTAGGGAAAGCCTTCAATCTGGAGATGTTTTTCCATGTCAAAGGCTGATTGATTTGATGTCATGACTGACGGTCCAATCCAAATCAATCAGCACACCATGGTCAGACTTGGTCTTTAGTCTTTGAAGACAGCAACTCGAAATATAGCTTATCTTTAGCCTAAGAGCATAATTAACTTAGTATCACCATGTCAATGAAAAACACCAAAGTGCTTGCAACGAATTTAGTCATCCAGGTCATTCAAAGGTTGAATCATAGTAACAGAACTTCTCTGGGGTTATTTAATCTTTTTTTCTTTTGTTTTTGAAAAACTTCACAAATGACAATTACTCTATGAAGCTAATGATATGCCGATATTATTGATGTTGTGACATGATACGGTATCATAAGATGATCTTTATCAATGCAATATATCACGATGGCAACATTTGTCACTGTACCTTGACACTTAATGGTACGATACCTCGCACGAATGATATTTTGTCCCACTCTTAATATGAATAATGTAGCTTGATACTTGACGATACAATATACCGTTTTACAATATCACACCTATGATACAATAAACCTCAATCTGTTATCGTACCATTATCCGAAGTGATTATGATGTATTGAGTAACGATAGGGTTACAAAAATTCGAAATAGCAACATATCCTTGCAAAATAAAACAGAATGATGTTTTTCCCCATCCCGGCTATAAATATCTTACCTTGATACTTCATGGGACTATATATGGACATAATGACAAAACAGTAACTGTGGTCGGGGCTGGCACAACATATCAATATTGCAGTATATCCTTGCAAACTGACACTTAGCGATACAATATATCATGATAAAGATTTATGACAAGAATGTATTGCGATATCGTTTTTTACGCACACCTGTTATCGATACTGTTCCTTGACACTTAACCATACGACGTATCCCGATAACGTCATGAAAGGAAGATCGTAAGATTGGGCCAGAGTTTAAAAATTGGCATACATCCTTGCAGTAGAAAACGTAACCATACAATATAGAACAGTGTAAGGGCTCTACTTTCACAACTGCGCAGGGGTGGGTTAGACCTCATGTTGGTTATCAATGATGTTACAAAATATCTTCAGGGTCACGGTTTGGCATCAGTTCGTCAATACCCAGGGTTCTTTCGTGTTACCTTGGCAATATCATTCACAATTTTGGGCACAGGAGAAGGTACGGTGCCCCAAAAGGGGCAAAAGAGTTTTGAAAGCGCATTTGATTTTCCCTCCTTAGAGGGACATTTACATGACACCTGTGTGTGAAGCGATAAAGTAAAGCGTAATGCGAACGACAAACAACCCCAGGCTAACATCTGGTGGGATAAAGAGCACATACCAGGTAACTTAGTGATCTTTAATGTGGTGCGATTGAGGAAGCGGGAGGATGTTCGTGGTGGTGGTGGTGGGGGGGGGGGGGGGGTGGTTTAAAAAAAAGATAATTTCTTTTTTTTAAATAACTGTTTCTATAGCAACGGGCCGCTGGAGGAGAAGAG